CATTTCAACAGTATGTGCCACCCTACCTGCAGATGTGGGGGCTGTGGGAGCTGGGGTTTTAGTAATTAGAGCAGGTACTCTACTTGACCAGACATACAAGCCACCAGAAACACCTGACTTTCTGCGTGAGAACTGGCCAGCTTCTCTCAGGACCTCGGATGACACTGTAGTTCACACTACACTGACAATGTAGTTCTTTGGGATGTTGCAATGTGAAAGTCTGAGAGGAGAAAATTGGTGAGAAGGGAGGGGTGGTGAGGAGATTGGTGCCCCCCTCTTTGGTTCCCTGGATCCCATCATGGTCCTTGTCACCTGGACTGCAGACGCATCCTTCCTTCTTGGCAAACAATTCTCCTCCCCTAACCTGCTTCAGAGAAAAAAGATCTTTTCCAACAGGGTAAAAATAGATTGTCTGGTCGCTGGGCAGAGCTTGCAAATGGAATCAGGAGATGGGAAGCCCGCCTCCCAAGCTTCTCAGCGACACCAGAGTGTTGTCTTGTCCTCAGAAGGGGACACGACTGACAACTGACCTTGTGGAAAAGGCTTTTCTCCTACTTCATGGGATCACTTCCCTGTGATGGGAGTCCTGCCATGAAGCCCTGGCAGCGCCCTCGGGGCCTTGCTCTCTCCAGTTCCTACACTGTGAGCTGAGTGACTTAGGAGCAGGAAACTGGACATGGAGACGCTTGCCTCAGCCTGGCCTCTCTGATCCTCCTGTAGAAAATAAGAATTTCCCAGACACACACACTCTGTTAACCCATCAGCAACTCTGCACTGGAAGGAGCCTTACAAGCTACACAGTACAGCTCTTACTGCAAAATGAGGTGCTGTTCAGGAATTTCCATGGTTTTTAAGGGGTGCAGCACTCAGATGAGTATATGGCTTGAATAAGGTAATCTCAAACTGCAGGAGCTGACAGGGTCATTGTTCTATAAGGTCTAGAGAATGCTGTATGGTAGCCATACCTTCCATTTAAAATGAGTGAATTTAAGCAGGCAACATAGCAGTAGCCAAGAAATGGACAAACATCATCATATCAAGTGCTTACAACATCCAGTAGAGATGACTGGACTTGTCTGATAAAGAGAGAGCAAACAGAGTTTAAGTTATTTATGGAAAATGCACCTCTCAGTGGTGGGGCAGGTATGTGTTAGTTCCTAAGCCTTCTCAAAGTAATGAGTCTATCGAACAGTGACTTCATCCTATAAGACAATAAAAAAGGGAATATATTACCCTTTGATTCGTACCAAACTTTCCCCAAACTCAACAGTTTAAAACAATAAGCACTCACCAGGTGTGGTGGCACATGCCTTTAATCCCAGCACTCTAAGGCAGAGGCAGGCAGATCTCTGTGAGTTGGAGATCAGTCTGATCTACAAAGTGAGTTCCAGGACAGCCAGGGCTACACAGAGAAACCATCTCAAACAAACAAACAAAGCACCCAAATCTCATATCATTTCTTGAGCTAAGAATCATGCAGTGGCTTCATGACACAGGGAGGTGACATTCAAGAGAGCAGCCAAATCTATGGTCATCCAAAGGCTTGGCTGGGACTGCCAGAACTGTACTAGCTGTCGGATGTGAAGCCTGTTTCTCCCATAGGCTCCTCAGCAGACTACTGGAGTGGCTCACATAGCAGGCCTTCCTCAGAGAGTGATCCAGGAGATGAAAAGACACCCAGTGCATTTTAAGACCTGTTCTCTTGAAAGGTAGAGGCAGGTGGATCATTGGTGAGTTCCAGATCAGCCTGATCTACATAGCACGCTCCAAACCAGTCAGTGCTGCAACATGGGACCTTGTCTCAAAGACAAACAGACAAAAATGCCTATTCTTATAAACCGTTAACCATTCTGTTACATTTTTACCCTAGAAGCAAGTCTCCAAGCACAGCCCACACCCCAGGGTGAAAATTCAGGCCCCGCCTCTTGGTGGAAGAGGCGTGGAGAAATCTGGGGAAATGCTAAGTAGAATGGCAGAGAGGAGGGAGGGAAGCAAAGGCAACAGGATTTAGCGGGTGACTGAATTGACAACAGCAGGAATGAGATACATGAGTGTTAGCTGGCTTAGGGCACCCCCTTCCCGTTTTCATCTGCTGAGGGAAACAGATGTGGAGAAAGGAGAAGGCATTGGGCATGACCAGTGTTGATGTCTGGAGAGTTTGAAGAGGACAGAAACATGAGACAGCAGTAGGCTTGGGGGTGTGAGGCCTTCCTCTTCTGTTGGAGATGTGAGGAAAAGGATCAAAACAGCTTGCCCTAACTGTGTGTTTTGTGGGCTGTTTCATTAAGAGTTATACTCTGTTTAGTCATCATCATCATCATCGCCCCCCCATCCCCATCGGCTGAACTAGGTCTCTCTGTCTGGCCTCAAACTCAGAGATCTGCCTGCCTCTGCCTCTTGTGGGTGGAATTAAAGGCTTGTGCCACAGTGCCCTTATTTGTCATTCTAAGACTTTTGTATTCACAAACATAGCACTGGGCACACAGTAGGAACTTGGAAATCATTGCAAAGAATCCAATGAACAAGAGAATTTGGACTTAGGATCCAAGGTGCTGTATAATATAAGGGGACAGGAAAAGGAAGTAGAGTTGACATTTAAATACAAATCTTATGGAATGGCCATGTGTCCAGAATTCATGGAAGATTGAAAGGAAACAAATGAGGGAGTCTTGGCCAGGACGAGCATCCAGAGTGCCACTTTACCTGAAACCCCTCCTCTGTTTTCATTGGAGTCAGAGGCTACAATACCCTCTCTGAGCAAACAGTTGGCTGAAGTGCCTACCCCTCACCCAACCTGGAGCTGGAGACAAGGCTCTGAGCTCTGTGCTATCTTGAAGGGTAGGGACAATGACAGTCTTGCTGCAATGAGCTAAACTTTCCCAGCTGTCCCGAGGGAAACCCAAGCTGTCCTTGCCCTCATGTCTGTTGGAAGGCTCCTGGACTGGACACCCAGAAGTCTGTTCAGGAAGTTTTGGAGCATCTATAAAAGGCAGCAGTTGCTAGGCCACTGCCTGAGGAAGCCTCTCATCCTCAGCAGCCTCCCTGCTTGGTTTGCCGTCTGACTCCAGGAAGGACCAGAAGTTCACACTTAAGGAGACTGACTGCCTGCAGCAGAGGCCAGGAGGTTGGGTTCATCGGAGGCCTTGAGTATTACCTCTGCTACCAATTTGTCATTAAAAGAAAAGCCATCTGCACCAATTAGACCCTGGTTAGTAAAGGGGTGTCCTGGCTGGTAGGCAGTACAAGTACAATCCAGTTGATCAGTGAAGGTGACATGTTACTTGAGGCTCCAAGTCTTCCCAGACATTTTGGCTTCAGTTAGTGCTCTGAGAAATGGAGGAATGAAGTGTCCTTGCCTCTATCTGTTGCAGAACCTCCTTGAAAGCTCTTGATACCAAGACCATCAACACCAGGATGTCATGGCGGGGAGTGGGGGGGGCGGCAGAGAGGGGACCGATGCCTTAATGACTTTCAGGATTGCAGGCTTGGAGATTTTTACTCCTTTCTGTCACTTCACAAACAAGAAACAATGATTTAAGAGCAAAACCAGACTGGAAACGGTGAGTCCTTCTTCTTCTGTGTCTACTGGTATTTCCTGTGGCCCACAGTGGTCTTTCCCCTAAGAACTAAATCTCTGTATACACACGGCTCAAAGCAAGAGAACCAGGTCAAAGTGATGATTTTTTTCTTCTGGGGCTCCAGATGACCTGAAGAAGCCAGCAGCAGTAGGGTTGAGGGGCCAATGGAGAAGGGATGACCTGAGCGTGAACTCTAGATGCTAAAAGAGGCCTCCAACCAATGGCCAGCAAGGAGATGGGAACTCGCCCATCACAGTCAACAAGAAAAAATAAATTCTACAATGTGAACATGCTGACCCTCCAGGAGATCCATGCACAGTCTTGGGAGACCTTGAGCAAAGGTACCAGCTATGCCATGCTGGGCTCCTGTCCCTGGGAATGGAATACAGATATAAAAACAGAAAGCCAGTGTTGTGCCATGCCTTGGCAGTCATTAGTTGTCTAATTATGACCCTAATGAATGCTTTTGTTGCTCAACTAGTCACACAGCTCTCTATGACGGATAATTGTACCTACACCTGAGTAATTCATAAGGAGCACATAGCACTTCAGAATGCTTTGCACACAGTAGGTATTGCCAGCTTTATGTGAATTAGGATCTTAACCCTTCCCTTGTCCAACTAAGCCAATGGGTCTTAGGTTAAGGTACATGTGGCAAGCATGTGCTGTAGACCTACTATGTGCCAGTTAGGTTTTAGCCATGCAGAGGACCAAGGTCCCTCCCTTGGGGAATTCAGCAAGATTTAGATATCCTCCCTTCTGTTGGTATCCTGGCATTATGCTGACCTGCCCCCTGACAACTGGCAGGGTACACACACTGACATTCAGGCAGATACTTAGAAAGCTCAAAGAGCCCTGTGTTGTATGGCTATGTCATGCGTTACGAGGCGGCATAAGGACTCTGTACGCTTGTGCAAGCTTTCCCTTTTAAGTGAGCATCTCCCACCTGTTCGCCCCTTGGCCCCCTATCCCCTTATCCCTTTCGTCTTCCCTTCTACCCTTTCCAACTCTGTTCCTGGCTGGCCAACACCTACCTCTCCCTTTGTTCCTTTTCCCCAATAAACTCCACATGGATTCTGTTGAGTATTGTGGTTCATGTTTCATTGCTCACAACTGAGCAAAACAACACCTTCTATTACTACAAGTTCCTCAAAGATTCCTAGAACTCCTAGCCCATCCACCAGGTTTCTGAGTACATACATCAGATAGACATATACTGGAAAGTTCTTTGGAAAATTTAGTGGTTTTTAAATGAGTTCTTAGTTTCCAAGGAGGGGGACAAAGCCCCTCACCCATGGCACCCATCTTCCATTTAAACAGCAGGGAAGTCACAAAGATGTTTCCATCCTCCCCAACCTCCTCAGCTCTCTGTGACTCAAGTGGATACATCCATTTTGAAGCAGACCAGAGATTAAAACTGTGTTAGGCATTTGCTACTTTTTATTCACGGAATTACAGAATATATAGAATTAAGAGGCATATCATGTGTTGAATCTATTTTCCAAAAAGAGCTAAGTAGATCTACAGCTTTAAAACACACCCATCATTGTCTGCCTACTGTAAAACTTCCATATACATATAAAGTATGGTGTCACCTAAGTTGTACATTTAAAATACATAAAAACAGTACCAAATGGCATGTTGGCCTAGTTTATCACAGTTCTCATACATTCCTGATCGTCAAGGGGCTGGATAGGGAATGCATAGTTTCCCACTGGAAAGAGGTGGCTGCTGGCACAAGCAATGAGACAGGGTAAGGGGCAGAGTGCCTCAGCTGACAGCCCAGTGATCTGGTGATGCCATTGTTATCTGAATCGGCATCACAATGGATGCTGGTCAATTACCGGGCATGCTGTTGATTTGCCTGGTCATTCCACCCTCTGCGAAGGCAACAGGAATTATGGTTACTCCTTTCTTTGCTTTCCAGATTATTCCCTCTTTCCCCAGCACACTGGCTCCATGGCCATCTGTCCTGCATTTCTCCCCATTTTCCCATGGTGCCCCAGCCCTGAACCACCTTGTTTATTGCACCTGCTGCTAGACTGCTGATTCCGCTCTATGGAGGTTGTCGAACAACCCCTCCCCCCACCCCGGCACTGCCTAATGAGATAACTCCCAGACTGGGGAAGCTGGCTAGAGGTTTCCTTTAGGTGGCATGCAAACAGGAGCCCCTCCCACCAACATTCATCTGGCTCGCATGGAGCTCCCCCAGACAGAGACATTTCCATCAGGAGCACTCCTGGCTCTCACACTGATTTCTTTCCTAAAAACACACAGCCTCACCCCACCGGAAGAAGAACACAACACTGTCAATCTCTGTCAGCTCCCCGAAGGCTGGAGAGGGTCCCAGAGCAATTCATCATCACTCCTGCATTTGGGTTTTTAATTTCTCTCTCACAGAACTCATCTTATGTGGTGGACATCGTGGCAAGAACCAGATGTGTCCAGCCTCGGCATTCCTCCCATGGCTGTGTGAGAAGAGATACAGTCATGCCTGCTAAAAATGCTCTAGACAATTGAAGCTAGCCAGCATTTCTGGAAGGCCTTCTCAAGCCTGGCTGGACATGTCACAACAATTCTGGGGTGTTTGTTGATTGCTCAATGGCACTGATGATTGAATGGTGTCTGTCAGGTATGACTTTCCTCTTGGCTCTTCATCCTGCATGTACTTCTGCTTAATCTAAAAGAGTTGCTGTCTTCACTGTCATGGCAACAGTGTCTGCGTTTGGGTGGGCACAGCAGAGCATTAGAGAGAGACAGTGCAGCACCTGCTGTCCAAGGGAAAGTTGCTGCTTAGCACGGCATAATTGCAGGCAGGCCATCCACTTGGGCTCTGTATCTATTTCCTTCTTTCTGAAATCAGAATAACACCTGCCCTCTGTAAACCAAAGAGCTACGTACGACACATGAGAGGAACACAGATGTACAGAATGGGGACATAAAGCTTCCATGATGCTGACCTTACCAACAGCCCAAGAACAAAGTGCTTGTCAACCCTGGGGTTTATTTTTAGTCTTTATAGAGCTCTACAACTGATCTTAGAGTCTGAAGACTAACCCTCAGTTTCAGGTTAGGGCCTAAAAGCCACACGGCTACTGACTGGAGGGGTCAGCCTAGGAACCCAGGTGAACAAGGACAAGCTGAGCTGATGACAGTGTATGGGTGATAAGAAGGAGAGAAGAGGGGGGAGGAGGAGGCAGGGAGGAGGGAGAGAGGGAGAGAGAGAGGGAGGGAGGGAGGGAGGGAGGGAAGGAGGGAAGGAGGGAGGGAGGGAGGGGGGGAAGAAGCCAGCAATCCCCCTCAGCGGGACAGTCCTACGCATTTCTCTGCCTTGGGCTTTTGTCATGGTTGTGTGGGTGGGTTTTGTTATTCTACATCATTACTGGAAGAAAGCCTTTTGCAGAGATTGCTTAAAACTTCAGGGATCCTTGGGAGAGAGCAGTAAGATTAATGAAGCAAAGCTCCCCCACCTTATGCCAAGAACATCTCTGCTCCTTCGCTGTGTTGGCCAGAACAAACATCCACTCACACAGCACAGGACACAGAAGACTGCAGACTCCAGTCTTGTGTAAACTTGCTTTAAAAGAAAAGGGAAACTTGACTGCAGCAGAGAAGACGGCCAGTCCTCTCCTACCCCAGCCCCATCACCTACTAGGAACCTCTTTTGCTACTCAAATGCTTCATCTGGGTGTAAGGAAGCCCCCATCCCAAGCTCAGACCCTGTGTATCTGGACTTTCCAAACTCTAAGCAATGGCTATGTCGAGTCCCTAACTTCCCTCTTAAGGGAGCACAGAACAGCTGGCAGGAGGCTCTGTGTAGGTGGCACTCTGAGAGATGCCCCTGTGGGTTCCTCTATGAGCAACAGAAAACAAGAGTGCTACATCTACCTGGGGGAACCCGTGCATGGGGGTGGGAATGAGGCATGGCTTGCTTGTTCTCCAGGGGAAGGAACAGCAAAAACATCATACTTCCAGCCTCCAACACGGAGAGCTGAGAACTCATCGTCAATTCAAATGAACCAAGAAGACAAAAGAATGCAAAGAAAGAGTGATTTATGCCTAGAAAACGAAAACAGACCACTCTCTCTATTTGCTTGGCATTTAGCACCAAAGTTCCAAGCAACCACGCTACAGAATGTGAGTGACAGGGTTCATTAAAGTCCTTGGTCCCCTAGGCTGGAAACATCAGCCGGGAGTGCTGATTATCATCAACGCATAGCTCTCTGGTGTGGTGTATCGATCAGTCCATGCTGCTTACAGAAAAGAACAGACACTCGCATTTCTGACAAACCTTCTACCTATATACAGTGTGGTGATGGCCATTAAAACTCCACACCACACTGCAGGGGGATTGTGCTACCTTCATGGCTAGAAGAGATACAGTGGGCTATTCTGCAAAGTGTGCCCCGAAAAGGCATCTGCTTCATATTCTCAAAGAGAACCAGCTACTTAGAATATCCACCGTGGAACCATCTACAAAAGCAGACCCCATGAGCTTCCCTGCTGTCCCCACTGGAGGCCTATTCTGAAATAGGCCACCTGATCCCAAGCACAGACGTGCTCTATGAGATTAAGTCTACTGGGCTCCAGCTGGTCTCTCCTGATGTTGTACCAGATACCCCACCACTAGAACATGGCCACGCTTCCTTTTCCTAGTGTGCTGGAAGAGGGAGGCGCGCCCCTGTCGACAGCATCCAAGCTGGGATTCTGACTTGTGTGTGCAGAAACTTCAGCGGGGTTGCCCAAGCCAGCCACTGTAATAGCTGCAACTCCACAAAGCACTGTTCTGGCAGCAAGGGAGGCAGGTGGGCAGGTGGGCAGGTTTCTATTCAATCAATTACTTGAAATATTAAGTTGTCCAGAGGGCAGAGACATTCATCAATCAAAGGGGCCCCTCTGAGTCTCAAAGTGCATCAAGATCTGTGTGAAGTCCCCTCTGACTCCGTACAAATCTCACTTCAAAAGCCCTACCCCATGAGCATTAGATGGAAACACCTGTTCCATCCCTCTAAAGGACAGATGAAAAGCACCATTCAGCCTTTGGCCTGTCTGCCAGTTACCCACCAACTAAAAGGATGGGTTCAGAGACGCAAGTGAGCAACAGAGCACATCAGACACACATGATTGCTCCAGCTACCTTGAGGGTCACCTTTGAACCAAAAAAAAAAATTAAAAAGGGGGAAATCCCTTTATCTTGCTGCTGGGCCCACAGCCCATGCTGGCCTAGACATGTGTCACTAGAATATTTTCTCTGTGGCAGAGGAAGCGATGTCAAATATTAACCTGTGAACACACTCATGAGGGGGATCAATCCAAACGAGGGCAGAGCCAAGGTTCTGCTCCAAGGAAGATTCTGGAAGGACTGGACACGACTTTCAGGAAGCTAGGATAGCTCAAAATAGCACTGTAGACAGTGTTGTGAGACGTTCAAATGAATGACCAGCAAATATTTCCAGTTCACTTTGGCTTTAAGAGTTCTTAGCTGAAAGATGGCTCAGATGGGATAAGGAGGTCTGTGGGTTTAGCTGGGTGGGGGCTTTTTGCCTGCGCTTCTTAATTTCACTAAAAGGGCTGGCCCGTCTTGCTCTGTGTTCTTCTTTCTTATTGAAAATAAAGTAGCAACATGTCACTTGCTAGATGGTAAAATGCTGTACTCTTTTCTCAAGAATTACAGGCTTTAAGATGCCATGTTTAAATAGCAGCATTGGCCTGTCATGCAGTCAGCCAAAAAAAAGAGAAAAAAAAAGGAAAAAGAAAAAAGAAAAGAAAAAGAAAAAAGAAAAAGAATGCAATTGCAATCCCTGGTTAAAATGTGAATCCTAAAAGTCTGAAAATGTCTAACTATTTCTCCAGTGCATTGTGGAATTTTAATTTCAGAGCTCTGAGCCTGGCTTATTTTATGTTTTTTTTTTCTTTTTAAATTTCATTTCTTCTTGGTCCTCTCTCTCTTGTGAGAGCTAACACTACAGATCTTTGAAATCCCTCCCCCCATCACACCTTTCACAAACTTAAATCAACAATGATATGTTCAAAAATCTTTGTCTTTCCTTTGAAACTGGATGCAAAAAAGAAATCTCTCCTGTCGGTGGAGACGGCTGTGAAAGACCGGGGAGCTTGCACATAGATTTCTTTAAACTTTTTAAACTGCTGTTTCTCCTTATCCCACTGGTATATCTGTGAGAATGTGTAGTCACTCCCCAGGGCCAGGTAGTGGTTATCTTTGAAGGAAAAGGGTTGTAAGGTCATGGCCCCCCGGGATGGAAGAGCCTGGACCTCCACAAACTGCTTACTGTTCCACCGCATGACCCGAGAGTCCCCGATGAAACGGGTGAGCGAAAGGTAGAGGGAGTTCTGCATTCGGAAGCTCTTCACAGCCAGCACATCCTCCATGTTGGGGATGTCACCGTGGGGGACAAACTTCTTCGAGCTTTTGTTCCACTGCAGGATGATGGGGACCTGGGAGCGGCTAGACAGGATGAGGTGTGATTTCCCATCAATGTCAACAAACTCTGCGTCCGTGTCCCTGAACCACTCATGCAGAGACTGGTATGAGTAGAAGCCTTTGCTGTTCCACTTGTAGACTGTGGACAGGCCTGCTTTCGAGCTGTCAGCGATGATGAAGAAGGTCTCGTCGTCAATCTCAAACAGCTCGATGTCATTGGGCTTGGAAATTCGAGACACTTCTATGTCTTGGAATTTGACAAACTTGGTCCAGCTCTCATCGTATTTGTAAATGTGAGAGCCACCGAAGAGCTGGGCCACCACCACAAAGACCTGATCATCGATGAGGATGGCTTTGCAGCCCACAATGGACTGGCCTGTGGCCAAGAGAAAGAGAAGACATTAGTGTGCCTAAAGTGAGTGCTAACCCCCCCCCCCCCAGACCCTGGGCCTGGTGCTGCTTGCCCAAAGGGATTGTAGTGCCATGGAAACTTAAAACCTAGATTAGCCAGAGGACACTTTTACTTCTTGATACAAACCAAAAAGAACTCAAAGCAGAAGCTGGAGTAGAAGCCTGGATAACAAATTGAGAGATCACATGTTCATGTAGTCCTCAGAGTCACACATAGAAACCTGACCTGGCTAGGTTTCAAACAAAGGTTAGGGCTGACACAGAGAGGTTGGTGTCTTAGTTATGGTTTCTACTGCTGTGATAAAGACATCATGAGCAAAAGCAACTTGTGGGGGGAAGGCTTTATTCCAGAGTTCCAATCACAATCCGTCACTGAAGGAAGTCAGGGCAGGAACTTAATCAGAGCAGGACCCTGAAGGCAGGAACTGGAGCAGAAACCATGGAGGAGGGCAGCTTACTCAGCCTGCTGTCTTACAGCATGCAGAGCCACCTACCTGGGGGTGGCACCACACACAGTGAGTTGAGCCCTCCCACATCAATCATCAGTCAGGAAAATGCTGTACAGATAGACGTATAGACATGCGTACAGGACAATCTTATGGATTCCATTTCCAATTAAAGATTCCCTCTTCTTCCGAGATATGTTTAGGTTTGTGTCAAGTTGACAAAAACCAGTCAGGACAGTCATCCGGAACATTGGGGGAGATAAAGAAGAGGGCTTTCAGGTGGGGTCTGAGGCAGCCAAACAGAGCATGTAAGAGGAAAGCCAGGGCTCTGGGAAAACCAACACAGCCAGCCTTGGCCAGATCCCACAGAGGCCCTCTTTGGGGACTTGCTGGTTTTATGTCAACTTGGTACAAGCTAGAGTCGTCAGAAAGGAGGAAGCCTCAATTAAGAAAATGCCTCCATAAGATCAAGCTATACTCAAGCCTGCAGGGCATTTTCTTAATTAGAGATCTATGTGGGAGGGTCCAACCCATTGTGGGTGGTGCCGGCCCCGGCTGGTGGTCCTGGTTTGTATGAGAAAGCAGGCTGAGCAAGCCAGTGACTAGCACTCCCCCTCAACCTCTGCAGCAGACCTGCCTCCAGGTTCCTGCCCTGCTAGAGTTCCTGCCCTGACTTCCTTTGATAATGAACTGTGATTTGGAAGCACAAGCTGAATAAACCCTTTCCTCCCCAAATTGCTTTGGTCATGGTGTTTCTTCACAGCAATAGAAACCCTAAGACGGGGAGCATGCACCATTGCCCTTTCCTCTATTAAACTTGTTGACTGTATTAGTAGTTACAGCTTTATATGGATTCTTGCACCGAAGACATTTAATGACTGAGTTATGGGTAAAAATGATTCCAAGAAAATATCCAGCTATTCTGGAAAAGAAATCACTCCAAGCCACCCCAGAGGTGGATAACTGGAGAAGTAGTAGGTCAAGGATTGGAAGCCCAGATGTGGAGGTGGCCGGTTGCCATGGCTCGGCTGGGTCTGTCCTCCATTCTAGAGGGAATACTTAACTTTCACTTATCCTCCTGTTAAAACAGACTGCTCACTTGTGCTGTGCCCCAGTGTGAGTTCTTCTCCCTCAGAAGCACAGGAATTGAGACTGCTGTCATGGCCAGGGCCGGAGGCCATTCAGGAATAGGGTTTCTCCATCTCTAACAACCTTGAGGGATGGGACCATGAGGTAAGGGTTTGGGGAGGTGACTAGGTCACTCATGACTAGAATTAAGCTTACAAAAGGAACCCTAGGGATTTCCTTCTGTCCTTCACCTTGAAGAGGCTGGGGAAGGGTGTGACTGGACCTGAGGGACTAGGGAAACGGCTCTGGGTGTGAATACAAAGACCTGTGGTCAAATCCCTAAGTCCTAGAATCTCTGTGCCCCTATAGTAAGATGGGGGGTGGAGACAGGAGAAGCTAGCCTGGTGTAGACAAACAACAAAAGAGAATCCATCTTAGACAAGATGGAAGGTAAGAACTGATAGCCAAGGTTGTCTTCTGACTCCTACAGATGTGATGAGGCAATATGCCTACACACACACACACACACACACACACACACACACACACACACACACACCACATCACACCACACACACATCAAACAAACATGTAACACACACACTCAAATACATACCACACCGCACATACATATATACACACCATACACACACAAACACATAACACACACACCACATCATACACACATACCACACACAAACACATACTACACACACACACCACACACACACATCACACACACATACCACACCATACACACATACTACACACAAACACATACATACACACCATACACACACAAACACATAACACACACACACACACACACACACCACATCATACACACCATACACACAGTGCCATGAAGGGCGATGTTGCACCAGATATCTCAGACTCCAGAACTTGAAAAGAAAATTTCTGTTGTTTATAAGCCTTCCTGTTAAATAGCAGCACTAAAATGTACCGAGACAGTCATATTGAAAGTATCATTACACACAACAGCTGGAAAGCGGATGCAATCCACGCTCTCACAGACAGATGAAGAGATAAACCAGCTGTGATCCATGAACACCAGGAATAGTATTCAATCTCCAAAAGGCAGGAAAGCCTGCTGCATACTACAGCATGAACTAGCCTAGAGGACATCCTGCTAAGTGAATGCAGCCAGCCCCTGAAAGGACAAAGCTGTCGGTCTACCTGCAGGAGGGATCACAGACATAAAGACTGGACATAAAGGTCTGCAGAGGGGGATGAGCTGCTTTTAGCCGGTACACTGTGAGAAAGATGAGAAGATCGGTCACACACAATACCAGTGTACCCAACACCACCGTACAGTACATAAGAAGCAGCCAGGATGGTGAGTTTTGCAATGTGTGTCTCTATGGTGGGATCCTCGGGGTCTCTGGAGAAGCCAAAGAGTGTGCAAAAAATATTCAGAGCAGAACTCTTAGTGTGTGGTGCCGGAACACAGGATGTCATTACAGGACGAGCCAAGTAACTGTCCTGACAATCACGGGACATTCCCCACTCCCTTAATGCTGGCCCACAGTGCAGAAATGCTGGTGGAATTTACAGTGGTCTGAGACCCAGCTCAGGTGACACAAGGAACCCTGCTCACACTGGCATGTTCTCTACACTGGACTCCCATCCCCCACTGAAGAAGGCCACCCAGCAAGCTAAAGGACCACTCATATCTCAAAGATCACTCACTGTCCCTACCTCTAGATCATTACTAGTTTTGTCTTTTAATCTTCTCGGTAATTTGACCGAAGTGAATTTGGTCTGTAAATTACAAGGATAATGATGCAATTTCTGTCCTGCAGATTAGCTTTGGGGGCAAAGGGAATCCGAGGCTTTAGGGGAGGAATTTACTTTTCTCTTTCATTGGACTTCCTGGAACCTGACCCCTTGCCTTTGCTTAAAACAAACCCTTGTGTTGTTTTCCTGAGTGCTTGTTCACCACAGCAAAAGTTGGGGATAATAACGGTAAAACTTAGGAAGTGGGTGATTGTAACCAGGCACTACGCTAAGCCCTTCTGCATATCCACTCCCCCTTCCAATCACCACTGGAGACAGGCATGACTCTTACCATCATGTTCACTTTTACAATGAGGCAGAGAAGGAAGGGCTCAGCAATTTATAAAGTCACACAGCCTGTATGAAGTAGTACCTGGGTTTTAAATCTAGATTACCTATTTTCCATCACCAAAGTACCAAAAGACACAAATAAAATCTGTTTATGATGCAACAAAAAAAACCTTAATATATTTTTTCATCTTTAATCTACATATCAAAGTCTATATATAGCTATATCAAATGTGCTTCTTTAAAAACATCAGGGCTTATAGTATATACATGCTTTTTATAATGCTTTTTAAAAGCCACTTTTATATGTATATACATGTATATCTGTGTGTGCACCTGTGTGCATGCACATTCAGGGTCCAGAAGACAAGCCAGGGCATCATTTCTCACAGCAAGTCTACCTGTCTCTGCCTCCTCAGTGTGACATTAAAATCAGGAGGCACCACATTTTGTCCTTTTTTATGTGGGTTCTGAGGACCAAACCCTGTGCTATCAGTCATCTTCTGTATTTAAAAAAAACTATACAATGGTGCTGGAGAGATGGCTGGGAGTTTAAGAGCATTTGGTGTTTTTCCAGAAGACCCATGTTTGGTTCCAAGCTCCCACATGGCAGCCATCTGTAACCAGTTCCAAGGGACCTTGTGCCATCTTCTGGGATTTGTGGTCACCAGGAATGCAAGTGGTGCACACATACACAGGGAGACAAAACAACCACACAAATAAAGTTTAATAAACTAAAAAAATCCACAATACTATACTATATTATATGGCACAAATGCACCAAAACCTACTTAACAAATACTCTATTGTTGGGCATAGCAGGTCTTTCTACTTTTTCATTTTTGATAAATGACATATTTCCTTTCACATATTGTTAAATAAACAGGCTTTGAAACCATCTGGCAGTGTTCTCAACTGTAAGAATCTGCTAGGATAAATGCCGGGTGTCTTTTGTGAGGCTTTAGGGCATGAACTTCCAAAGTACTCAAGAACTCCCACCCTACAGACAGAGATTTCTAATTCATGCTTCCTTTCCATCTTGGGGGGGAGCACTGTAGAGGTCCCTATGTCTCTTGATGGGGGCTGCTTAAAAGTCTGTCTGTCCTAGAGAAGGACCTCAAGCCCACTGTCCAGGTGACCAGCCTGTGGGTGTGTCAGTAGCAAGTGAAATTGTGTATGTGTGTGCACACGCACTCATCTGTCTGTCTGCAAAAATTATAGGTTAGAACATGCAGAAGTCACAAATCAATAAAAATACAAAAATCAATAAAACTGAAGGGTGATGAAGAGAAGACAATGGAAAGTAAATGGTAGACATCGATGTGGACATGGCCACTTAGTTCTTACCCAGAGATACCTAACCAGGGCACGAGTAGACTCCATCTAACAGGCACAGATTGAGACACACTGAGCAGCTCCCTATGATGAATGAGGAAGGCCAGCCCAAGGGGGAGAGAACCAGCCACACTCCCTCCCTTACTCCTGTTCAAGGCTAGTGGCTGGCACACCCAAGCCAGAAGACTTTCACACCAAACTAAACTTCAGCTACCAAGAAACAGACAATCACTCCCCTGCGTGAACAATTCACTTTCAGGCAGTCTCTGCCAGTTCTGGGGTTCCCTATAGCTATACAAGTCTTAGAAGTCTTACCTGACGTCAGAAAGTTGGGGTCTCTGATGGAAGAGAGTGGGCCCCATTTCATCCATAGTGGACAAGGTTACCATTGGCTTCAGGCTCTGCCCTTTTAATACGCATGACTTCCTGCCAAATCTAATGCTACAGTAATCCCATCTAAAGCAGAAGCCATAAGATTCCCACTCTACAGATGATAGAAGCATGTGAACATTAACGAACTTGCCCAAATATCCCTGACCACTAGAACACAGCTGGCTCAGAGGAAGTGCCCAAGTAATCTTTATCAATGAACGAATGCATGGAGGAGGATGGATTTGAAGTCACCACCAGTGGTAGAGTTAAAAGAGAAAATCCCCGACCAAGTGATCAGAATCTCTGGGAGAAATGGAGACCTACCATTCCAGCTGCCTCAATCACCTTGGCAAAGGGCACCTCCAGGGAGGAAGGTTCACCTTCTAAAGAGTTAGGTGGACTAATTAGTCCTTCAATGAGATTTTCCCTCCCCAGAACCCTCACCTTTAGGCAGAGGCTAGCAGACCTACAGCCGAGTAGGTTCATAAGTCTGCCTGATTTTCTGAACGATTCAGATAAGTGTCCAACTTTTCCTTTTCTACCTCTTTTCTAAGCCTGCTTCCCTTAACACTTTGGGCTTCTCCCTGCTTCCTTACTCTCTCCAAAGCTCCCCTCCCCACCGCACGGCTACTTGTTCACCTGTGTCTGTACCAGATTAAATAGCACGACTTTTTCCATCTCTCTTCCATTCACCCCCTCCAGGCAGCTGCTGAGATTTAGTGCTTGTGTGCGCTGTGCTTTTCCTCTTAATACTAATAAGGTTGCCTTTGAGCTTACATTTGAGTTCATTCTGAAAACCTTTTATTAGTGAGAACCCTAAACCAGGTCCCCAGTTTCCCCTCTATCGCCAGCTGCAGTGAGTGGCAAGGGCAGGTAGACAGCAGTGCCACGCCCTTTCTATCAATCTGGGACGGGGACACACATAGAGACACATTCTGTCCCTGAATGAATGCAGGAGGTCCCTTGTAAAGCCGTACTGACTGCACGGATGCACAGGCAGAACCAGCCCACACATCCTCCACCAAGCCGCAAGCCCAAACCATGCAGCAAACTCCCACCAGGATATTAGGTTCTTCTCACATCCAAGGTTCTCCAGGCAGCTCTATGCTGAGTCTGTGCTTCCAGGCCCTGCTCCCCGACAGTAGCTCCACACTAGAAGGCCAGGTGGCTGTGGCAGCAGCAGCTAGCTCATCTGAGCTGGCATCTCCCAAGCATCAGGACTCATGATTAGACTCATTAGTAGCCCGTCCCTCATGAGTGAAATGCCACTGACTACCTATGTCCCTGACTACCTGTTTCTGACTACCTATGTCTCTGACTACCTATGTCTGTCTCTGACTACCTATGTCCCTGACTACCTATGTCCCTGACTACCTATGTCTCTGACTACCTATTTCTCTGACTACCTATGTCTGTCCCTGACTACCTATGTCCCTGACTACCTATGTCTGTCTCTGACTACCTATGTCCCTGACTACCTATGCCCCTCCATTTGCTGTGTAGCCACTTATGTCTGAGAAATTCCTAGAATCTTCCCAGCCCAGAATTTCTACCATGGTACCCTCGGGAGAAACAGTTCAATGCCTCCTGGAACCTGGGCAGAAAGTCTCTCAGAGGACAATGACCAGGCTCCCAGAGTGCTATTTCTACAGCCACTATCAGTTATACTGGGAAAGCTGAGAAGATTGAAGAATTGTTTTGATCTTAATTTTATCCATTTACTTAAACAGCAAGCAGATAGTTCATTTTTAGTATCACTAAAACCCTGGGAACCCACAGCTGCAGCACCGAAAGAAGCCAAAGACCTGAATTTATGTTTGGTCCATTCTCATTGCTATATTTTCACTAAGTGTGCATCCTGATCAAGACCCAGCAAGGGAACACACAATAGGAGGAGGGGCGGTGTGTGTGTGTGAGTGTGTGTGTGTGTGTGTGAGTGCGTGGTGTGGGAGTGTTATGTGAGTGTGTGAGTGTGTGTGTGTGTGTGAGTGCGTGGTGTGGGAGTGTTATGTGAGTGTGTGAGTGTGTGTGTGTGTGTGTGAGTGCGTGGTGTGGGAGTGTTATGTGAGTGTGTGAGTGTGTGTGTGTGTATACACATTAGTTAAATAATCAGCTTAACAAAACCAAAGCTGTGGCTTAGCTCTGGTAGACAGGCTGCCTTAGCTATGCAGGATCATGGGAGTCCCATGTGACTTCTTACCAGGAAGCGAGATGTCTTTTCACTTTACTCGTGGAGTCCCCACCTCCTCCTTTCCCAGAGAGATCACCACCAGGGAGACATTATCACCTGAAGTTCTGTTATCACCAATATCTGACCATATGGAGAACACCTTAGAGTGACCATCAGTGTGGGCTGGAATGTGGTCCCCGCCTCTCAAGGTAGGGCATCAAGCCTTCCCTTGATTATAACGGGGTGTTTCTTTTCACAACACACCTGTGATGTTGTCATAGCTCCGGAAGTTCATTTCTATGTGGTCCCACTCCAACACCATGCAGTTCTCCATGCTGGGCTGAGCGATGGCCACGTACACGTCGTTCTTGGAGTTGAACGTGTCTACTGACACCGATTGGAACGGCAGCGTCTGATGAACGACGAAATCTGAGAGTGGGCGTTGAAAAACAAATATTAGCTCATAAAAACCCCTGTGAGAATTCCAACTGCCATTCTCTTTGCTTTGCATCATCAGTGGAGGTACCTGAGGAGGAATGGGTAGGGTGGGCCCAGAATTGTCAAGGGAGAGAGGGGGCATGCCTGCGGAGCTGGCATAGAAGGTATGCAAGGGAAGTAGAAATGTAGGGAAGAAAGAATTTCTTCAACACATACACACACACACAGAGACAGACAGACAGACACAGAGAGAGAGAGAAAGAGAGAGAGAGAGAGAGAGAGAGAGAGAGAGAGAGAGAGAGAGAAGGGTATATAGCACATGTGTCTAATTCCAGTGCTCAGGACGCATAGGCAGGCAGATTTCTGTGGGTTCAAGGCCAGGCTGGTCCACATAGCAAGCTCCAGGCCAGCTAGGGGCACACACTGAGACCCTGTCTCAAAAAACAAAACTCCCACAACAAATGATTAAAAAAACAGAGATTAAGTAGTTCTTCTGGCCAGAAATGCTCCAACATGCACAGCCCCTGGGTTACGCATCCAGGAGGAGATCCTGGGCTTTGCTCACTCAATCCTTAACCATCCTCATTGAAAGCTCATGTCACCAGCAATGGTGTGTTTAAGTCTTAGTCACATGAATCCAAACAGTAGCATCAGAGTCCAATTTGGAAACATTGCCCTACCAGGGATGTCACACGAGCCAGGCATTAAGGGAGCCCGTTCAATAGAAGAGACAGGAAAGGCAGCAGCTAGGCAAGAGTTGAGGTGGCAAGTATGAGGAAGGGATGAGGGGGGTAGGAAAGGCAGGAGGCAGGAGAAAAGCAGGGCTCAGGGGACAAGGAGTGTGTGAGACTCGGAAGAGCATTGTGCCTGGAGGTAAATAGCCTGAAGCTACTTCCTGCCCTTGAGACCCAGGGCTGGTCACTTCCAGGTCTCAGTTTATTTGTCCTAAGATGAGGTAAGGAAGATGTGCCTCTCAACTCTGTGGCAGGGACAGTTCAGATCATGAGGGGCGGGGGCAGGGGTGAAAATGCCTACCTCAGAGCTCAGCGAATGAAGTATAAGCATCAGACTCAGACACAGCTTGTCCCACCTCAAGCTGTTTATGTACTGGCCATCTTTACAGCGAGGGTGTCTATTTTAAAAACAGTTTTGCTGAGTTGATTCTTGATGTCCTAACCTTGGGGTAAATGACATAACCTCTCTCTGCCTTCCTATGCATCTGTGTGTGTGTGTGTGTGTGTGTGTGTGTGTGTGTGTGTGTGTGTGTGTGTGTACATCTGTACACACACTGGGAGCTAAGAGAAGGCTGCTTCTGTAGCCCAACAGGTAGAAGTGGCTGGTGGGTGGATACATGGTTCTAGTGAACAGGGTGCCCCCCCCACATCCCAGCAGAGAGCAGAGTCTGGGGAGACCAGCCCTAGAGATCAGGCAGATCAAACTTCCCTGAGACTGAAGGTAGGAGATGGAGCCTCCATTTCCAAAGTTGTGTGTGAGGCACAGCACCCAGCCCATGCCACTCAGCAAGGATTGTACTTAGGCAAGTCCTACCTGCTGAGGACTTGGGGAAGATGCCTAGTAGCTGCTAGCCTGCTCCTGACACCATCCTGTTCAACCTCCACCACCAGGAAATAACTGCCAAGGCAGTGCAGAAGGCAACCAGCACGTGTTCAAGGCAGGTGAGCAGGAAGGAAGGAGGCAGCTCCTGCAGGCTCCGTTTCTAGGGGTCTAAGACATCAAAGAATGCAGCTCTTTTCATTTCGGCTGAAACAGTGATAAACTCCTCTGCATTGGGCTGCCCCCCTTTCATCATGGGGGCCACAGGTTCTAAAAAACCCCTGACATCTTCAGGTCCCATTCCTCTCCTGACTGTGCTCTCAAGTCTCAGACACATAAGCCTCTGCGTTAGAATGTGTGGGCTTTACAGTAGCATAAAAGCCTTCTGCCTTTCCTGAGGGATCCTGCAATATAAAAGATCTACCAGAATAGGGGCGAGAGAGATGTCTCGGTGCTGCTCTAGCAGAGGACCTGAGTAGTTCACAAGTGCCTGTAACTCCAGCTCCAAGAGATAGCATACCCTCTTCCGGCCTCCACAGGCGCTAAGTATATACAAATTCATAGGCAAATACTCAATTAAAAATAACAAGAACAATTTTGTTTAAAAAGTAGTTCTACCAGAATACAGAGTGTGTTATACAAATCAAGCTTCCATGGCCCTGTTTTAATTTATTTTTCCAAATTAAATTCATCGTTTCATAATATTTCCTATACACTGACTATCTGGCATGACACAGACTGCTAATCACATAAATGACTAATCCTTCACAGGAGACAGCCCTACTCCCATCTTCAAAGGAAAAGGAAGGAAGGGCTAAGGGACAGTGACTAAGACAGGCATCTATACGTTCTGGAGAAAGGCACTAGACAAATTTAAATACCTCTTTCTACCCACATCTGAACCCGACTTTCACAAAGCCAAAGGCATGGTCATTGTAGAGAGACCTCAAAGGACACACATACTGAAGTGACATCAATTTACTAGCGTTAAAATATTAATGGTACATTCTGCCATGAGAGCCGCCACTTCCATTCACATCAGATCAAGTTCATGATGTCAGTGGGTCTCCTACAATTTCGGCCTTTCTCCCACTAGAATCCACACATTTTTACATAGCTATTTATAGAACTTGCAGAAAATAAATTATACATGATGCTGAGCCTATGGGGAGAGAGAGTGCACATTAATGCATTATTTCTCTTTGCATTTTCATCAGCCCGAACAAGGGAAGCTAACAGGACAATTAGGATGCAAAACTCACTCCCTCTAAGGAATTTAGTGAATTATCCATCTAACATGGGATCATCGGTGGGTAACAGGAATCTCTGCCTGGTTAAAAATAGACTTGAAGGGGAGGGTGTGGAAGAATTGTGATTAATCTGAAGAGCTGAGGCAGCCTGGTAGTGGCTACAAGCTCATTACTCCCCTCTGTGGAGGAACAGCATGGTAAAAATGCCTTCCTCACTTGGGCCACACAGGGAGAGATCTGAGCGAAGAAAAAGACGGCTTCCTCCAAAGTAAGGAAGCCATAAAGTGACCCCGAGCTCATTGCACGAGTTCTAATCTCTCTCATTGAGTCTGGCTCTCCATTCTCCAGGCATCCTCTCACACATACTTTCCCTAGCCTTTGGTAGAGCACCAGAGGCCAGGACTTGATATGAGCAGAAAACAGGAATGTCAATGCCCTCACAATTTATTGACCACACACTTATGTGGCAGGAACAGTGTCTGGGAACAGGTCATCTTGTTGTGTCATCACCCCACGTAGAAAACTCTTGGAGCAGAGCTTTTGTGTCTGTGAACCTTAAGGCAACAGAGAGGGAACAGTCTGTCACTGCTTACCTGAAAGCTCCATGTGGCCTTAGGAATGTTGTTAGCAAAGACAAATAAACCCAAGAGATGGCCCAAATGTGTTAGAGGACTCATGCTGTCCCAACAGATTCTGGGACTCAGGTCCTGGCTGCTCCAGTTCCAAGCCATCTCCTTTTCAATGACAATTCTCAGTCCCGGAACACAGATAGAACCAGAAGGCCCTGAGTCATAAATCCTGTTTTCTCGTATAAATGACGCTCTGTTGCCTGAGCTTTCTATAACCCTGTGTCATCTTCTCAGAGATGGACACTGTGACTAGTGTGAACAGAATGATGGAAATGCCAATCTCACTGTGGGGTCTAGAGAATTCTCCAGAAAAGAATTGGAGGAAAGGCCAAGCGGAGCCTCAGAAAGCTGTAGGATAGCACTTAATGCCAAATGGTCTTGAATAACACCTTTCTATACAAATGTCATTGACCATGACCTTTGATTCACTGCCCTGGTCTAAGAGCACAATAAATAACCTCTTAGTGGCTAGGCCGAGTAAAGGGCACCTGCCAATCACACAGCTCTGTGGTATAAGACAAGGCTACTTCCTTGAAATATCCAGTTTCCCGTAAAAGAGCAGAACTTGTGATTTTCTCTGGACATGCACACGAACACCTGGAATTCATTTCTACTTGGTGAGTTTTGGCTTGTTTGGAAGGGAATAGTAGTAGATTTGGCCTAAATATGATACCTTGTTCTTGGGATTTTTATGTCTTCAGTGTTTCTTTAACTGTTTTCTGAGTTCTCATTCCCACTCTTCTTGACATGCCTTCAGGCTGTGTAGATAGCAACTCCTGGCCCTGCCGTTTATTTCCACAAACATCTAGAAAGCCGACTGCACACTGTGGATTGATCCTCTCTCCTTGAAAATCCGGCTTCAAAACCAGCGGAAACCTGCTTGAGCCTTTCAAACGGAGGTACCCCCCTGCCCTCTACCTGTGGGGACCTGGAGGTAGTCGGCATTTTAATTTTATTCTATAACCTCAAAACTGTGGAAATGGAAACCCTGAGGTGGGCTCTGAAAAAACAAAGTCAAACTACCTTTACAGTTTTCCCTCAACCTGAATGTTTTCCTTCAGCAGCCACTTGTCACCTTAAATGTTCTACTTTGCCACAGGCTATAATTTCCCTAGTTATCTCTTCCTACTTGAAATGGAAAATAACTTACAGATATAAAAATCTGGTATTAAACTTATAATAAGTATCATCTTACTGGAGAAAAAAAAAGGGCCAGTGACAGCAAAACTATTCTCTCCTGACTTCTCTGTGCTGGCTCTTCATAAAAGGCAGGCCAATTTGTAGCAGGTCTCATGCCACATTCTTAAGTCTGTATATCAATTTCAAAGACAGACAGACAGACAGACAGTCCGCCCGGCAAGCTGGCGAGCTAGCTCAGGCAGAAAAGTACTTTCTGCATATGAAGACTCAATCGTCCTTCCCCAGCACCTCAGCACCTGGACGTGGTGAGGTGCTCGTGTGAGCTAAGTGCTGAGGAGGCAGAGCCAGGCAGACCATGGAGATCGCCATCTATGCAGTCCAGCTGAATCAGCAGGTTTCAGACCATGAGAGATGCTGCCTCAAAAAGTAGTCCTGAGGAATAGCACTCAAGCGTCACCTCTGGCATCCACTACCCATGCATGCACACACATGAACATACGTACACACAACTAGAGGAAAGAAATAATGATGGCGTACTTGAATTGTGCAAAGAATCAAAATTAAAACAGGCTTGGTGGAAAAATCAACAACAACAACAACAAAAAAAACCGACCTGTAATACCTAGCCCTTGGGAGGCTGAAACAGAACAATTGCCTCAAATCCAAGGCCAGCCTGTTCAAAATAACAAGAATTGGGCCAGCCTGAGCTATATAGAAATATCCTGTCTCAAAGGGAGGGGGGAGGAAAGTGAAGAAAAATAAATTAAAATTAGAGCCAGTGCAGCTAACAAAACCCTTTCTAACTATTGAGATGCTTTCCTAACCAAATTGATTCATTTCTTAAACATTTTATATGATTTAGTGCATGCGTGCGCGCGCGTGTGTGTGTGTGTGTGTGTGTGTGTGTGTGTGTGTGTGTGTGTGTGTGTGTGTGTAGGTCAGAAAATAATTGGTAGCAATCAGTTCTCTCCTTCAACCACACAGGTCCCAGGCATTGAACTCAGGTCACCAAACACTTTTACTCAATGAGCCACCTTACCAGCCCTGATTCATTTCTCTTAAAAATCTTACACTTTCTCTAAAACAACTTTGATAGAAAATGTCTACATTCACTTTCCCTCATATGCAGCTGGCAATCTGCAAGGAAAAGAATGGATTATTCTCCGTGTCCATGTCTGAGGACAGAGGTTCTGCCTACATGTGGCAGGACACTCATAGTCAGAGCTGCTCACCTGTGGTGGTACACTCATAGTCAAAGCTGTTCACTTCATTGAGCTTCTTCTCCTGGTATTCTGGTGGCCCGATACATAGCACATCAGACACAGTGGAATTTGTCATCTTCAGCCACAGATACAACCATTTGGCTTTGCAGTCACATTCAAATTTATTACCCCTTAAATCTCTGAAATACAAAACGCAAATACACACACAGGGAAGCAGGCATGTTTGATGTGTTTTTGGTAGTAATATGAAATACTGGGGTTATTCCTAGCCTGATACATCTAAAATAATCCAATTATGGAATTACTTTAAAATGACTGTGTTTTGTGCACCTTATTTTCTGTACTTACTATCTTTATCTTTAGTGAGTATTCCTTGATGCAGCAATTTTGATTGATTCTCAAAGATGAAAATTGTCTCAGGGAAATGGTGGAGGTGGGAAGAGATGGGTGAACATCCCAATATAGGTTCCCATAGATAAAACAGGGTGTAATAGGAAGACAGTATTCACAAACACAACTTAAACATTCCAGGTCTTACTAAATTGCGTCCAGTACAATGTGCTCCAGTCACACTGCTTCTAGTGAAACTTGAGAAGGCAAAGCAGAGGGACAGACTACTCGGGGACCACCCATCCAGCAAGCCTAATTCACTATTGGACACAGAGTACAGTATCTGACAGTTGAATTCAACATAAGACAATACACATGCTATGTCTCAGTGTGTATGACTCTGTGAGCGTACTACTTAGACAAGAACAAAGGGATTTGAAAGATAATTGTCTAGGGCCTGCAACTAGTCACACAAACTTAATTTGCACTACTTACAGTTCAATCAGAGAATCGAGATCACTAAAGACATCCCTTGGAAGTGCTTTAATGTGGTTGTTGGCCAAAGAACTAGAAAAAGAAAGTCACATTTTAATGTGGTTACTACCTTCCTGCCAGTCATTCTGAAGTTCATTTGAGTACCTCTAATGATTCAAGGAGAGCTCTGAGGCCCTGCATCAAAACATGGCTCAATCATAGCTTTGATCATCAACACCAAGAGAAAGATGCACGTTCCATTACACAAGACAACTGGATTCCAATGTAAGCTTCTTTGTTTGGAAAATAAGCACTTCATTAAGCTCTTTACACACAGCTATTAAATTACAGATGGCTTCTCTGGATCTTGGAATAAAAACCAAGTTTCTAGGCCAGGTCTCATGGAGTAACACCTTTAATTCCAGCCCTTGGGAGGCAGAGACAGGTGGATCTCTATGAGCTTTAGGGAAGCTTAGTGTATGTAGTGAGTTTCAGGTCAGCCAGTCCTTGACAGTGAGATCATGTCTAGAAAAAAAAAAAAAAAAGAAAAGAAAACAAGCCAAGATCCCATTTCATGGTATGTAGGACTCTCCATAGTCTAGGAACCTCCCCCAATAGGTGAGACTTCAACGCTAACAACTCTAACCGAGTCACATATTAATAGCTCTTTGAACTTCATTGGAAGATGGTCATTTGCAAACTATGTTTTAATTACTTGTTTGTTTCTTGACTGGGTACCTTCCTGACACAAAAGCAATAGAGACTGTGGTCTGTCCATGGTTTTACCCTACCCCTTGAGCAATACAAACACTCAAAAAGTTGGGAAACCTTTGCTGATAAAAAAGATGGATATGCTACTTTAGAAGATGGATGGATGGATGAATGGATGGATGGATGGAGCAACAATATGAGACAAACAATGAAAGATGAATAACTTTTCCCCAATAAGTTCTGTTACAGTCCATACAAGTACATGTGATTATCTATGTTTCTGAAAAAGACTCAGTGAACACTCTTTTACATGAAGACACTCCACTCTGACACACTAGGATAACATAATGAAATCTCAATGAAGTGGCATGCTTAGTGAATAGCTGATTGCTGAGAAATCATCTCCCTGTTTCTTCTTAGTATTGGAGAGGTTTCTGAGATGCTAGTCCACACCCACCTCAAGCTACCATTGATTCAGGACTCTGCAGTGCCCTGTTGCCAGTCGGCTGAGGACAGATGCCCACAGTGCAGGGTCCTTGTGGGAAGATATTGAGTGTGGAAACACAATGTACATCAAGTCTGTGCTTTTCCCAGATACACTAATGTAAATTGGTCAAGAAATGGATACCTTCTTCTAGAGTTTTCTTTTACTTGTGAGTATAAACGGCAACATGTATAAATGATAAACATGTAGGTAGTTTATAAAACATGTATGAAGTGAGTCATACATGGTCATAGCATGGTCATAACCCATCCCAGAATGATAGCTGAATAAATGAGTATTTCTTTTTACGGTCAGTGGGGTGTAGTAGAAAGTTTAAGCTCCTTTTTACTCTGAACATTCTTCCTTGAAAACCAACAGAGAATGAGAGGCCAACAACTTCTAATTATTCCCTTCCCACTCAGGCAACCATAAATGGATTAGAATACCATTTCATGTGCTATTTCACCTTGCTTTTCTTAGTGAGGTACTTACACATTTTTTCGATGTGTTGGGAAATAAGCTGATTGTATAATCACACTGAACAAACACTGGGGTAACTTTTGGAAATTTAAAAAAAGGGGGGTGTTTGTTTTGATTTAGAAAGCAAGTTTAAAAAACTTTAGCTAACTATCAGTTAATTATTCAACTAGAACTATTTGGCTACCTGAAGGCTGTTGCATTGAAATGGTAATAATATAATTAGGTATGGAATGACCAATGCAAGCAAGCAAACAAACAAACAAGAGTATTTAGTAATTGCTCCACGACTGCAATTTAGGCTTCAGAAGCCAGCCCTGTTTTCATGAGCTATCTACTCTACCCATGCTGAGTGCTTAACATTAACATCTTCCTTTCTATTTCTATTGTCTACAAACCCACAGCACTTACTTCATTTCTCAAACTATTTAATAGCTTCCTGTCCCCCGGGTTCCATAAGACCGCTGGAAAACAAATGTCCTAGATTTTAGTTACAGATTGGCACTGATCCCTCCATGCTTTGGAACCCAACTCGTGTTTTAATATGAACGTGGATATCTAAATGTTGGGAAAGTTCACAAAAGGCCAACATCAAACATTTCATTTAAATGAGAAGGTTTTGGGCAGTGACTTCCCTAAGGAAGTGGGTGAATTTTGGAGTTCATGCTTTCTCTGTGTGAGTTTAAAGGGGAGATAAGGGCAGTTCCATCTATAAACATTATGTAGGTTGTGCCTGTAGCCTGTGCCTAATAACAACGGCCCTCCTTCCCAACTTTAAGATCCACACTTACCTGCCTCAGCTACTGCTCTCTACACAGCCATATCTATCCTTTAAGAAGTCTCTGTCTGGAATCTCAAATGGCCAAGAAAATGTATCAATCCAGAGAGAAAGCCAAGGCTTTTTAATGACTGGAAGGATGGGATGGCATTGTCATTGAGGAGGAGGAGGAAGATGATGATGATGCCAGTCATATCCTTGGCATTTACTGTGGGTAACAGGGCTTTGGTCTTTGCAGCCAAACATCATAAACCTATTAAGTACATCAACCGTCCACAGTCAGTGTAATCATCATTATCTTGAGAATGAGGAAAGTAAGTGTCAGAAAAGTTAAGTAGCATAATAAGTTATGACCTGGAGTTTTGAACCCAAGCCTGAAACCTCAGTCCATGGGAAGTGAGGGCTCTGGCCTACAGGTTGACTCAGAGAAGTCTGCATGTCCATAGAAAGACAAGAAACCCTGGAACAATAATGACAACAAGACACACATTCTACTCGATGCACTGGGCTAACAAATAATGCTTCAGTCTCGCACAGTCGCTCCCTCTCTCCTTACGCTGCAGCCCTCACTCAGCTCAGGCAGGGCTTCTGCTTGACGGCCCCAGAAGGCAGGCTCACTGTGCCCAGTGGCAGGTGCCTTCAGCAGGATCTTTCTGAGTAGACTCTTTTAAATGACTATGTCCCTCCACTGCCATCAGGGCTATACCCAAAGGTACCACCACCCCTGCCCAGCGTCCACAGTCAGTGCCCTCCAATTTCTTCAATTCTCTTTTTTATCACAGACAAGGTGACAATGGATATAGGACCCATCATCTTCCTCAGACAAAATGATCTATTATGCAAATGAAGCCCAAGTCTCGGCTAATAAATGACTCCAACCATGACCATGTCTGGTTTTGCATTTTCACAAATACAGCCATTTTTTTCCAATCTTACTAACTTTTCTAAGTGTGTGTGCTTGTTCCAATCTGACATGCAATCAATTCAGACCAATCCTCCCCCGCTTTGGTCTCTGACAAGCCGGTAAGGAACTGGAGAGTTAAGCTGAAACTACAGATTAACCTAACATAACAGAAAAAGCAACTTTCATCCTAAAGGGAGGACACGGATGTCACTATGCCACTTTACCCTCTCCCTGATGTCCTTCACTGAGTCCCAATTCTGTAGAATGGGAACTCACAGATTATCATAAAACACGGAGAAGGTCTTTGGGTACCAGGCCTGGCACCTGGCACCAAGCGGGTATAAGAACCACACTTCCTCCATGAGCACAAGGGCCTCACAGCACTGAGGGTTTCCCACTTACATAGAATCATATGGGTCCCCATGGTGACAGAGGATGGTGGGGACCAATGGGCAGAGTGTTGTCTGACAGCATAGGAACATCTTGGGCTATCTAGAAATGAGTTTTCTTTGATAGATGTTGTGATACAGAAACATCAAGGAAAAACAATCCTGTATGTGTGCTTGTGTGTACCTGTGTGTGTGTTCATGTATGCACATGTGTGTGCACATATGACAACAGGAGTCATCCACCTTATGTTTTTGAGATAAAGTTTCTCCCTGAGACCTGGGACTCACTACTTAGGAGAGGCTGGCTGGCCAGCGAGCTCCGGGGACCTTCCACTCTTTGCTTTCCCAGAACTGAGGTCAGAAGTACACACCACTATGCCTGTCTTTTTACATGGGTTTAGGAGATCTAACCAAGAGCCGCATGTTTGCATGGCCAGCATAGTACAAACTGAATCATCTCCCCAGCATGTACAACAGATCTCAGAGGACTTACAGGTGAGTCAGGTCACGGAGGCCCCGAAAGGCATTTCTTGAAATGGTTTCTATTTTGTTCCCTTCAATGAACCTAAGGAAAGAAGCAGTATAATATAACCAAATTCCCTCTCCTTAATATCGCTAACAGATGACATAATGTGTTTTGGCAGTAACATCGGAAAACACTCATGAAGTATCAAAACTCCCAAGTTAGCAGCAAGCTACACTAAACTCCATGAGGGAGCCGGTCACGTGAGCAAGAACACACGCACACCAACCCCTTTGCTCCTTTCAGATCAGCATGGATGTCTCCAAATTCAGAGCTGCCAACATGGGCGATAGCATCTTGGGTTTGGGGAAGGGAGAAGAATGTACTACACAGACGCCAGAAATTCTCCCATCTCTGTAAGACGGGAACACTTCCAGACGTTTTCCCTGTATCCTCTTACATTGCCCTGCGCCCGGCTATCCATATACTTCCGTTAATACCATAGTCCCTAGAGAGGAGTCTGTTGTTTTACATCTTTGCATTTTAGTTTGTGTAGGAAGAGTTCCACTAAACATGGCTTCCAGCAACCTTGAGTTCATCCTGTCCTACAGAGCCTCATCTCTGGGCAAATGGTGACAAGAAGGGATGTTCTCAAGCTCTGAACGAAGCTAGAAAGCAGAGAGGACAGTGAGGGGAGCAGAGATGACTTTCTTTGCCCTGAAATGGTTCAGGACTTGCACAGAGACCCTGTAGCAATGGCACTCGCCATGCTATCAACTCTCGGCAGGAATATACTGTAACTGTTCCCAAGGGCAAAAGAGAGAAGTCAAATGCTAGCAGGTTTTGATGAGACGGTCCAAAGGAAAGACTGTACTACATCTGTGGCACAATTGATGAATTAGTTCTTACAGGGAGAACTCTTTGATGCCTGATTTTAAAACTCTGGTGTTTGTTTAGTACTAGACTTTGGCATACTCTGACAAGCTAAACTTTTTCCCTGATGCCCTGGGCCACACTTGAACTGCCCATCAGAGAAAATCCAGGGTACCCCACAGATATTCGTGGGCTTTTGGCAGACCCAGGTAGCTTCAACCTTGCAGCTGTGACATTCCTTCCACATCAAATACAAGCCAAAATACCGGATTATGAGAGGGTTCTTTGGAGAAAGAATTCCTGGGGAGACACTGTTTCCTGAGTCCTCACATCAGCAGAGAGCAGTTTCTACCTGGTATGTGTCTAGAATTCCAACACCTACCTGTTCACCTCAGATAAGACAGCAGGAGCAAGGCTTTGCGAATCCTCTGAATGCTAAGCAAGGAAATCCCAACTGATAGCAGGATTAGCATATTACAGACTCACCAAATACAAGGCTGGGACAACTTAACGGGGGAGAGGAAGATTTGAATGTAATAAAGGCTGAAAAAGAACCATGGCCAAGCTCGCTGCTAGAGAGGGAAATGGTGCGTCTGAAGAGGCGGAATAAGCCCCTCTTCCTGCTTTATTGTTGTTGTTTTGGTTTCAGTTGGGAAAAGGAAAAATCTAATCTGACCCTCGGAAGAACTCACAGGAGACAGAGCACATGGGATATGGGACAGCTGGCTACAAACCAGGCAATTCACCCTCTAACAGGGAAACTTTGTTTAAAAATAAGTAGCCCTGAGAACCATCCAGCTCTATTTCTGGCCCATCAGCAAATCCATGCCTAGTTATGGAGGTAAAAATATCCAACTCCATTTCCAGTCTTACTTACTACATGCCAAATTAAATGTCATCAGAGAATGAATGAGTGAGTGTCTCCCCTCCTGAGCTTTGTCCCCAGCCTCCTCCTCCTGCCTGAGCATGCTGGGAAGTAAGTCAACTCACAGGCCAGTGCTGGCATGAAAATGGGGCTTTCTGTAGTCCTATCCACTCCCAGGACACAACTCAGGAAGCCCCAGAGGTACCAAACTTTCAGCAACACTTACAGGTATTCAAGATGGAAAAGGCCAGCAAAAGCATCGTCGCGGATCACCGTGAATGAGTTAGAATTCAGCAACCTGAAAACAAGAAAGGTTTTAGTAGAGACAGAAAGGTCAAGCCATGTGGTGAGGCCATCTCTTTTTCTTTTGTTGGGTGCTGACCCATGGGCAAATGAAGGCTCTTCTCAGGCTAAGGACATCCCCTTAGCTTCCCAACTGTCCCCCCACTATGAAGGAGACAGTGAGGAAGGGATCCCTTGCTGGCTGAATTTTCTGCTATCTCCAATACTACTACATCTCTTCCCTCATCTTGGAAAATATGGATCTTGGGGAATATGAACTGATGGATATTATTCAAAAACAATTTTCTGCTAGACACAACTGGATAGCCAATGAATATTTCATGATTCCCTGAAGAAACCATGGACTCACAGACTTACAGCTGTATTCTAGAGATATCTGAGTCCAAAGAAGATAAAAGTTGACTAAAGTCACACAGTGGAGACAAAAAAGCAAAAATCCATTCTACCATGCTAGGCATTCCCATGAGAAATAATCCTTTTTAAAAGGTTAAGAAATGTCTAGAAAATTATCACTACGTAATTTTCTATTTGAGTAGTAAATTTTTTTATATTTATAGAAACCACCTAAGTTTATTTAGCCAAATAACATCTAAGCTATATCTCTATTCTAAAAGGATTGGGATTTAAAGTTGTATTTTGCTTCCTTATTTATTTATTGTATAGGTGTATGACATGTCTTTAGGCACAAGTGTGCCACAACACATATAAGGCCAAAGGATAATTTACGGGAGTCAGTCCTTTCCTTCCACCATATTGGAATCAAACTCAAGTCATTAGGCATGGTGGCTTCTTGCTGGCATATGAACTGAGATTTTAAGTGGCAAGTTTATTGTTACAGTAGGTATAAAACATGTCAAGAACAGAGCTATCAATGGCAACTTATTGAGGATGGATAGTGATTTGTGTCTCTGTCTTTTTTCTATGGTGCATTGCTTGCTGTAATTATAGTCTCCTTAAGTCCAAGAAATACGAGAGTCTGTACTACATGCTCGCAACTGCCTGCTGATTTTCTGTTTTGTTTATGTGATGCTAAGGATGAGACCCAGGGCTTCCTGCACGATAGGTAAATGCTCTACCGCTGAGCTACATGCCCTCCATACACATACACCAGCCTAGGGAATTACTTTCAAAAAGTGACTTTGGGGCATTTATTGTCAGCTGATAGCTGACTTGGGTTTCAGGACCTTATGCAGGCACTCACCAAGGTGACTTGGGCATGGTTCACTAAGACGAGCTGGGGAAAACGTAGCTATGGGCTTTGGGCTTGGGTCCTCAGTCCACGGGTCAAGGCAAGGTATTTACATTTTCTGAGCCATCAGCCTCTTCATCTCTCAGATGGGAGAGCAAAAGTACCTTTTCTAAAGAGACGCCATGCCCATGAGATAAAAGCATGCACCTCTACAATGCCAAGTATGCTGCCTGCCTGCCTGCCTGCCTGCACGTGAGGCAAACTGGACATGCCCCTATTTGAAGAGTAACATCAAGACAGGTTTCTTTTGAGATGAGAAGTTTGGGGGAACTATTCACTGAGGTGAAACTCTGGTTATGATCAATGCAGCCATCTCCCAGTTGCCTGATCTGTGAGTGGGATCTACCACAAAGCCCCACGAGAGAAGTCAGTGGAAGGTCAGGTGAGGACCTGTAGCAGGACAGTGGTTCAGTGTGGTCACCAAAGGACAAGCTAAAGCTAAGAGCCAGCAGGGGTGACTTGGGTAGCTGTTGTATTACAGGAAGACTAACAGCAACGAGGCAGAAACCATCCTTCAAGGACCACTCCGGGGACCCCATTTTTGCACAGAATGTCCCATACTCACAGCAGCTGCAGAGAAGGCAGATGGGAAAACATTCGGTCCTTGATTTCCAAAAAGGTTCCATTGACTAGGCTCCTACAGGCAAGAGGGGAACAGAGGGAGGCCCAGGTTGCTTTCACGAAAGGCCAAGCCAAGTGGGCCATTGCCCTCCCTCTGCCTCCAACTGAGCTTCACACTCTTCCTCTCTGGGGGGGCGGGGCTTCATGTGTTTGGCCTTCGTCTTCCCAGGGAGAAAGATGAGAAGAGGGCTGGTTCCAATGCACTTGATCAATAGGGAGACTCATCTGGCTAACAGAATGCTGGACCATCAGTCTGGCTCCTTGCACAATGTTAGTTCTGTCGGCTTAAAATAATCCCCCAGCTTCCTTCACTTCACGGCAGGAGGCCCCTGCCGAAGATGGATAATTACTGCACCTTTCTGTTTGTGCAGACACAAAGTTAACGCTGGCCCACAAAACTCTGGGGTAGGATTATACATTCCCCTCGGAAGCTGCTCTCTGAAAGCTACTCAGAGCACTTCTGATTAAATGCACCATGAAAGCCTTGGGGGGAAATCAGAGAGACATCTGAACTTGCCCACGAAGGAAGAGGCAATGCCATCTGCCAGATAAACGGTCAACTCGGCAAAGAAGCTTGGTTCTTTCTGCCTCGGGGTTTCCTACCCTTTCTGGCCACAGCAGGACTTCCATACGTTATTGGAGTTTAACATGCAGAACACTTTAGCTTTGATCGTATCTGAAGGGCTTAACAAGAGAAATTCTAGAATCCTCCATGTGATCTAATGTAGCAATAATATGAGGCAAACAGGCCTGCTGTTCCCCACAGCTATACTCTTCCAACTTTTTTACAAATGTAAACAGGACCCTAGATCCTCTCTATCCCTGGACCATGATGCTATTTTGCCTTGGAGAAGAGGCACAGGAATGATGAATCAAAGGAAAAAGCACAAGCAACGTTATCCCCAGGACTCCCTTACCCTCCTCAGGATTCCCTCTAAATCTGGGGGAGAGGCGGGGGGGGGGGTGCCCCAGCACCTTACCCCGGAACAATGGACTATCCTGGAAGGAACTGCCCCAGCAATAAAGATGATGCTCGAAGGTCCCTTCCATAGCAACATTTTGTCAGAGTGACTGCGTAGACCTGGTTGAAAGCACTTCGCAAGTGGACAAAGGACCTTGCTATTAGTTTTGCCGGTGCTGGTAATACAACCCACTGTGGAGAGGCCCTCTTGAACTGGAGGCAAGAAGTGGCGTCCTACCCTAGGGGCTGGACACCTCATTACTGCAAAGCACTTGGAAACCCTCTGGGTCCCCCTTCTTTGAAACTACGTGGAGCCGCCCCTCCACTTCCAGAGGCTGCGTGCCTTAGCCCAGGCTAGCTTCTTCCCAGCTTGCAGTGTGGAGAAGTCCGGAGGGGGCCAGCCTCACAACACATTGGAGGCTGACTGCCATGAGGCCTCACCCGTTCCTAGTTAGTCCGCTCAATCCGGGCACATTCAGCCGTCCTCCAATCACACACCCACCCACCCAACAACACAACAGAACACTCAAAACTTTAAGGCACCCCAACGATCGTCCCGGGGCGCGAAATACAGGCTGTGGACTCGGGCGCAGAGACCCTACCCCACTGTGGGCCCTGGGTCTGCAGTAGCATCAGCTCCCCCAGGTAGATCTGAGGCAGGTGGCCGCGGGCCACAGTGAGAAACTGTCACGCGGACCTATCTGGATTCCCGCACTCTGAGTCCCCCTATCCTTCCCGCGGCACAGACTCCACCCACGTCCCGTGGTGCGCCCCCAACCCAAACGCAAAGAAAGGGCTTAGGGAGCAGGGTCAGGTGGTGCTGCCCCAGCACCAGCCGCAACTCCCTGGTGGCGGCCGGCACAGGGCAGGGCGGGGCGGGGGTGGAGGGGTCCCACTCACAGGGAGCTGATGTCGCCAGGCACGATCCTGGGCACCCAGGAGGAGCCCACGCAGATGATGGACTCCTTGGTACAGCTGCAAGTGGCGGGGCAGCGCGCCAACCGCCTCACCTGCGCGCTCGGCGGGATGAGGCACGCGGAGCTCAGCAGCAGCAGCCCCAGCGCCCCACCGCCTCTCCACAGCGCCATGCCGAGTCCCCCAGTCCCCACCCGGGCCCGGACCCCCGCTGCCGCCACCGCCCCGCGCCGCGCGCTCGGACCCCGCACCGCTGCAGACGCGGGTGCCGCTTCCCGATCGGCCGCCGGCGCTGCTGGCGAGGACGCGGGCGCCGCGGGTGTGGGAGGCCGAACCGCAGCCGAGCAGCATGCTGGCCGCCACCCCCACTCGGCGCCCCTCCACCCGCGCCCGGGCTGCTGGGCGGCCGCCGCACCCGCCTCACCCGCGCTGGCCTGACATCAGCACCCGCGCTCGCCGCGGGCCGGGACCAATGAATAATGCACGCGGGGGCCCGCCCCGCGGGGGAAGGGGAGGGAAAAGTTGGATGACCTTGGGGGAGGGGCCGGCCGAAGCTCAGACCCCCTGGGATCCCGTCTGAGCCTAGCAGGAGCACGGACCCGCAATCCTTTTGCGGGCTGCAAAGAATTCCAGGGATACTGGACTCTTTTCTGCGGGGTCAAAATGTGAGCTTCCTTCCCCGAAAAAAAAAAATAATAATAAAAGAACAAAAGAAAAAAAGTAGGAGCAGTAAGAACTGGAGGCCCCATACTCACACACACCCCCGAAAAGTAGGGGTGTGGAGAACTAGCTTGACCTGGGAGAGGGGTCTCTGCCCTGAGTGCTCCGAAGAGGCCAGACCTTTGAGCATACTTAATAGGACCTAAGTGAATGTGGCAAAGGACTCGACTGGCCTCCTTGGCAGACCGACCATGCAACTGTAGGGTCTGAGTCTCCACTGCACCTGAGCTCACTGAAGTCTCCTCTACTTTCCATTGCCTGGGGAAAGCAGAATCGCAAAAGAGTTACAGCAGGCATCTCCTGCCACGCTGGGCCTTGCGAAAGAAAAAAGATCCTGCAAAAAGTTTCCCCTGGCTCAGCACAGTGGCCTATGCTCCACTCCCTGAGTAAGGGATAGGGACACAGATTGTAAAGAAAGATCGAATTTGATGCATCAAGCCCTGCGTCTTTCATCTTCTAACCCTCAGCAGATTGCTTCCACCCTCCAGAATTTACCCAGGAGATAAATGAAGCCCAGAAGGCCTCGGTAACGGTCCGGTCTGGTGTAACAGCGCCAAAAAGAAAGACCGGAGCCTGAGATAGGAGTTTGAACTGGTCCCAGGGAACCCCTTTTCTACTCTGAAACTGGGGAAATGGAGAATAATGCCAAAGCAGAACAAAACGTTGTAGACCCACCCCCACCACGCAACTGCTCAGAGCTGGGAACCTGTCCATCAGGCTAGGCACCCAGGCAAACCACTCTGGTGTTAGGGCACCTGAAACAAGCACAGGAAATGCAGAAGAGGGGACTCATCAATACTGTCACTTACTCCGGAGTCATTTTAGCCCCATTCACAAGGGAACTATCTACTTGTCCTCTATGGGAAAGAAGAGGGAGACAGTTCCTGTGAGCAGGGAACTTCAGTCAAGCGGGGCAGATAGCCAATGGGAGGACTTTCCTAGGGTTATAAGGTTATATAGACTGGCCAAAGGGTTCAGGAATGGAAAGTGGGCTGCTAGTCGGGGACTTGGTCAGAGGAGTTAGACACTGTCTTAGTTACTTTTCTTGTTGCTATAGTAAAATACCCTGGCAAAAACAGCTTAAGGGAGAAAGCATTTATTTGGGCTCACATCCAAGGGTAGTCCATCATGTCAAGAGAGTTCTGGTGGTAGGAAGTTGCATCTGACGCTAAGAAGTGGAAAACGATGGATGCTCATTCATACTAGCTTCCTCTTTTCTCACGAAGCCCAGGACCCAAGCCTAGGAAATGGCACCACTTTATATCTTGGCAGATCTGCCTGCTTCAGTTCACCTAATCAAAGATTATCCTGCAGAGGCATACTGAGAGGCTAATCTAATCCAAATAATCCCTCAAAGGTGTGCCTGAAAGCGAGTCTCCTAAGTGATATCAGATCTATTACGTTAACTCTCAATGGTAATAGTCCAAGATGTCACTGACGTCTCCATGTATCCAACAGCTAGCAGTGCTGTGAAGTACTCATCAATTGCATACACACACACACACACACACACACACACACACACACACACACACCTTGGGGAATGGATCTTTCCATTTTCTGGGTGGGAAAGTTGAGCTCAGAGGCATTTTCCACTTACCCAAGCTCACCAAGGACCCGGCCAGAAAGGTTATATGCCAGAATTAGATGCTGGGGTCTGAGGAGGGATTGCACAAAAAGTGATCCAGCCCCCAATAGCACTGTCCCTGTTCCTACAAGGGCCCCAGGCATGAGCAAATGCAGAGGCACGTGTCTAGGCCTGGCCACTTCTCTTACAGACAGCCTTCTCTGTCACACCACTCCATCAGAGGATGATTTCTTTTCCTCACCTGTAGCACAAAGCTAATCATCATTATCACTGTCATTGATGCCTCCAAGTATCTTGGAGTAATAGTAATAGAATTCCTATTCTATTACGGTGCAGAGACACCTTAGGCAGCTTATAGAAGAAAGAGTTTATTGGGTACCTAACAATTTCAGAAGGTGAGAGCATCATGATCATGGCAGGGAGTGTGGAGGCAGGCAGGCAGGCAGGCAGGCATGGTGCTGGAGCAGTAGCAAGAGCTTACATCCTCATTTGCAGAGAGAGAGTGCTAACTGGGCAATGGCTTGAGTCCTGAAATCTCAAAGCCACTTCTCCTCCAACATGGCCATGCCTCCTAATTCTTCCCAAACATTTCCGCTAACTGGGGGACCAAGCATTCAAATATACAAGCCCATGGGGGCCACTCTCATTGAAACCACCACACCATGCTAGAGTCAGCTGCAGCAGGAGAGTGCAGGGGAAGACTAGGGGAGTAGGGCTGGCAGAGCCGCTATTTGTTTAGGCTCTGGTAGAGACACTAAGTGAGTGCTTGTAAATTATAAGGCACAGTTTATAAATTAAGTCATAAAAATGGAAATGCAGATTACTTTGGTTTGGTTCCAAGATCTTCAGCAGTTTGGAAGAAAAAGAACGTAATAGACTATCAGAGAGAGACAATCTGTTTCCAGGAACTAGTAAGAGTTTGCGAAAATGTAAATGTCCCCATTCAGATGGACATTTGTCCTAGAGAGGCCTGGGTGATACGAATGCCCAGTCCTGCAGCGTATGAAACGGTGTGACTCCTGGGTCCACCTCTTAGGTACCTTTCATTACCAAACATGCTTCAAGCTCAGAACTGTGCCCGTTCATGCCCCTCCATTCAACCACAGTCCTTTCAACCACCAGTCAGCATGCACGGGGAACTCTTTAGAAGCTGGTGGCAGTCAATGATAAAACCATGCCAAGAGAGACACACTTCCTACCTCTGTTGGAGGCAGATATTAAATAAAAGAACGTACAAATGAATATGCAATTACAGATAGAGGAAGAGATTGGGGAGATCAAGCTCATGGGTGAAGGGGACAAGGGGGAAAGCAGAGGCCAAGGAAGGGGCGGTGCGGGCAGCCAGCACAGCGAGCAGAGGCCCAGGGCTGAGAATAGCTGAGTGCTTGTGCAAACCACACTCCGCATGTCTGAAGCACAGAGAGTAGCGCTGGAGTGAGGTCTGGAAAGTAGGAGCAGATATATCATGCAGGACTCCACAGGCCAAAGCAAGAAGGTCGACTGTCATTCTAAACGCCAGAGGGAGCCACGAAGGACTTGAATCAGAGGGTTGACATGATGTCATATACTTCCAAATAGTTGATTCTGACTAACAAGTCAGCCCTGGAAAGTGATGGTGGCAACTAGGCTCAACCTGTGACAGGGAGGATGGAGAGTCATCCTAAAGGAAGGGTCAGCAGCAAGCACTGTAGGGTTCAGCTTGGGTGGGAAGTCAAATGAAACGTCAGGGTTGCCTCTCAGGATCTGGCCAGAGCCTGCGGGTGGTGGATGATGGTGCTACTTCCTAAGATGACAACATCTGAAAAAGAAGAGGGCTTTGGTGGGAGAGTGGGGACAATGGTTTGGTTTCAGGAACACTGAAGTTTGTTTAAATGTCCGAGAGGCATCCAAGCAACTCACATGCTGACTGGGTCTTTAGATACTGGATCATAATAGTTGGGAGGAGATGTGGTCTTCACACCCCCAGCGAAGGCTCGGTTCTGTCTAAGTTCTCACTGTACTGTTGGTTCATTGCATAAATGAGACTCATTTCAAATGTACATCAGAGAGAAGACTTCTCTCAGATGTAATTCAGCCAGGAACAATGCATATTACAGAGAACTGTGGATCTAAGAATACTGCACTTGGGGGTGTATTTTTAGATCACGAGTAAATCTTCAAATCCTAAACCGACTATAATAAGTCTTGTGAAAATCTCAGAGACCTCCTCATATTGTCACTTTCCCTCTCCAACTTGCCCAAACTCTGCCCATAGCCCCACCTGAACTTCCCTACAAAACTACAAGCCTTAGGAAGCTGCCCCAGCACCTAATGCTCCTGGCTCCCGGACCTTCTGAAAAAGAAGTTGGAGAGAGCGATTGCCTATTCAAACCTCAGAGACACTTGGTTTGAATGACTGCACCGCGATGATTCCCCAGGACTGACCTTCCCTGCCGCACACACAGACTTTGCCAATCCCAGTTTGACCACATCACCCCAATCTGCCACTCCTGTGTTTGGCTGCTGATCAAACACAGAAGCTATTTCTAGCTTCCCTCCACCGCTTTTGTCTAGAAACTCAGTAGACCTCCCAGGCTGGAAGTCACTCTGAGCTGCCTCTTGATTTCAATCAAGTCTCAGAGGGCTACCTGTGCTCGTCTGTCTTATCCCTATTCAAAGGACCCTAGGACATGGACAAGAGCTTTTGATGACCTTTGTCACCTCCTCCTCACCACCCATGAAATGAAATACTATGTGAAGGGACCCTGGCCAGCCTGAGAAAGGCACACACGCTCTGGCAGGCTTTGTCCTTATCCTGCATTCCCTCTGTCTTGCTAAAAGCCACTGGATTACGTTCTGAAAGCTAGCCACCAAGGTCCAGTCCTTTATTTGGCCACTTCCTCCTCCTGAGACTGACAACCAAGTTGCAGCCATCTAAGTACTGAAGTCCAGCAATCAAGAGCCCCCTTTGGCTCACCTAATTAACATGCTCAATCAAAATTAAACACCCCATCCTCACATGGGATTCCCCTTGTACCTTTATAAACTGTCGTTTTCTTATGTGCCACATCTGTCTC